GGATGTCTGGTGATCAGTTGCGTGCACGGTTTGGCAAATTTGGTGGACATTAAGTGCATTAAATGCACCTGCAAAGGAGGTGACTGGACCAATTTTTTTGGAAAAATAAGGAAGATAATGAATAGTGACCAGACGACGTGTCGTGTAGTCCCTCTTTTTTATATACTAAAAACAGTGTCGTTTTAGGTTTTAAATAAGGATTTCTTTGAAGTTCAAAGTAGTCCTCCAACTTTCATTTTTATGCAATTGTATCCCTAATTGACATATTGATTTAATATAATTACACCCTTGTTGAATTTCAGTTGGAACCCTAGATTTACGCTTCTTTTGCACATTATTCCCTGGTCTATAATTTTTATAATTTAACCCCTAATTGATCATTAAACTTTTAATTTTTTCAATTTAGTCCCCAGTTTTTATCAATTATGCCCCTATAGTCCGGCGCCTTTTGCAAATTGGTCCTTGGCTGCGAATTTCTTCAATTTAACCCTTAATTGACCCCAAAACTTTAATTTTCTTACAATTTGGCCCCTAATTTCAATCAAATAACTTGGTAAAAATTAAATTTGGTCTCTTAAAATTCCAATCTTCTTAATTAAGTTCAAATTAGGCCCTCAAACTTAATTTTTTACCAATTAAGCCCTAAATAAAATTAATTTGACACATTTAAAGTATAATCAAGTCCTTGCACTTAATTAAATCCTTCAATTGGACCCAAATTAACTCTTAATCATAATTAAAATTTAATTTGACTCATGATGAAATCAAATTGGCCTATTAAAAATTCAATTATGTCATTGGGCTCAATTTTTATGCAAATTCATCCAATAATCATTTAATTTGACCTTAAATTTGCATTTTTTCTCCATTTTTGAGCATAACGGAGTACAATTATCCTTGAATCTCCTCCAAAAATTGCAGCTTGATTTTCCGGCCTGCTTTCTCTATGTTGCTAGCCTTTATTTTTATTTTGAAAATAAATAAATAAGTAAATTTTTAAAGAATAATCCAGAATTAGGTTATGACAATGATCATTCTAAACATGTTTTTTTAAGGAGATTTGATGTAATTAATTTATTTGAAAACATGGATAAAATTGTATAAAGATTTTTAAAGTCGCAGTACTAGCTATCATATAAATGATTTTACTGAATAATTATGAATATTTTAGTAATTTGAATTTTAAAAATTATTATTATTAATCAATTAAAAAATAATTATAAAATATTATGACCCTCTGTTCTAAAAGGCATGAATATGATAATATTTTTAACCGGTTAGTTAAAATAGCATTTTAGTTATCTTGTAGCCGTATATGTCATTAAGAATGTTTTATTATTTGCAATATATCACCAATTAGACTTAGAATGTTTTAATTGTGTGTAGGACCTGTTATAATTACATCATTGAGCTATCTATCTTTATTATAATTACATCATTCAGCTATCTATCTTTATCCCAATAGTAATGCAGCTTATGAGGTACGATCTAGTTTTTAATCCATATAGTATTTGAAAATATAATAATAATTATTTTTTAAAATATTTCTTACTTAAAACATATTAAAATAATTTTTTTATTTTTTTAAATTTATTTTTTAACATCAACACATCAAAAAAATCTAAAAATACTAAAATAATAATTAAAAAATTAATTTTAATAAAAAATAAGTTGAAATTCACTTCCAAATGATGTCTACTTCTTTATAGCTTTTTAATGGTTTTTTTATTGAAATTATATAGGTGTTACTACAGTACCAAGCATTTTTTTTTATCCATAAAATTTCTACATTCCTCTGAGACAGTAACAAAAATAGAAATTAAATATTATCAATAGAGAGTAAAAGAATGTTACAGATTGTAATTGTTAGATGTTCCAATATAGAATATAACATCTTTAAAGCATTTCAAGGCAATAATCACTAAGGCAATCAAGTTTTCCTCAAGAATCACTCCATGTCATCTTTTTCTAAGCAGTGCTTGGTTCTATGTCCTGTTTGACTTTTTCACTGCTACAAGCTTCAAGTAAAAGAACTGCACCAAAAATATCCTCACTTAATAGATATGTAATGCCGAAAATAAAAAAAATAAAAAAATAACAATTAAGAAATGAACTCGTAAATAAAACACACAAAGGAACATCAACTACCTAATACTTTGGATTCATGCTCTCTCGTATATCCTTTAGAAATCAGCTCTTTAACTTATCTTTGAAGCTTTTTTATCTCACTAGGGTTGCTTTTATAAGCTGCTTGGTTAGAAATTACAATTCTAAAAAGAGATTAATTTTATTTTTGATTTTCCTTGTTGATAGAAAACCACTATAAACATTTTAGAGAAGCATATCTTTAAATTTTTATAAAAAAAAATAACAACATTAAAAATAAAAAGATCAAGTTCATTAGCATTAAAATATGTCTCTTTATCAAAAGTACAAACATAGATCGATTGATAAAAAAAAACTCTTGATTGCACTTTCTTTTTCAATTTTAACCAGCCTTTATAACTTGTTTTGGTTAAAATGATACAAGAGTGATGAATTTTTCATCTTCTACAAAAGAATACATATTTCTAAACTCATAATATACAGCTTTTTTATCAAACTATCATGACTTCTCCAATAACAAATGACTTACACATATTGGAACTACAACACACAGAATCTCATCATTATATCTCCCCATTAAAAAAGAAAACTAAAACCTGCTTATTAACCTTCACTTCATTATAATCATTCAATCATTAAAGCCTATAAGATATATGATATTTTGTAGTATTCAAATTCAACTTCCTAACAAGTATGATATTAACATAACTTATGCCATCTATAATCATACTACATATGTTATTATTTAAGTGACATCTCATTTGAAAGATATTCTCTCTTTGTTACTCCAAATCATCGTCTTTAATTTATGCATTCAATGCTTGCCTAATCATAAATGATTCACCAACTTTGGAATTCAATCTCTCTATGATCATGATCATGTAATATCATAGCTTTCTTGTTTGGATATTGAGATGTTATGTGACTTATTCCTAAATATAAAAAAAAAAAAACACTTAATATCATAATTACAAGGTGTTTCGATATCAAATTCACTTCTAGTATTAGTGAAGACTTTTTTTATTGCCCAAAAATGATTTGATTTTAGCTCTTATAATCGGTTTGTTTTAAGAAACCCTCATTTTCCTAAAATTCAATCACCATGTAGAAAAAACTTGAATTTTTGACTTTCTAAGTAGTGCTCTTCCTCATAAATTCTTGTTGTACCTTTGTAGCTATATACACAATGCCTTGTAACTCTATATAGTGTTGCAACTCTATCACATTCGTTATCTTAAAGTTTAAACCATTTAAAAACTTAGGCATAATAGCTTTTCTATCCTTCACTATATTCGTCTAAATCATAGCTACTTCAATATTTTTATGGTAGTTCTTTATTGCAATTTTATATATAAATCCTAGTAATATTGAATTAGAACAAATCTTCTCTTCATGATTGCTTTCATCTCATCTCATCTCATGTATCAATAAGTCTATAATGATTTCTCTTCCTACTCAAAATAAATTGACCCTACCAAATAATAACATAATTAGTAAATCCATCCACAACAAGTTTATGATTAGTTGTGACAATTAAAGGTTAAATTCATCTTTTTTTTCCATTTTAAATAAACTTCAAGATCATTCCTCCCCTGAAAAGCTAAGATTTTCATCTTGATACTTTTCAAATCTATATCCAAGCCATCATGCAATCCCATATATCTTCGTACTCCTCTATGATTGAAATTTCTAAATCGCTAAAATCCCTTATCATTATTGTTTCTATACTGCCAAAATCTACCACCTTGGCCAAATAATACATGGTTAAAATCTTCGACTTTTTCATCTTCATTCTCATCAACAAACCCATCCACAGGTGTGGTAGCACATCTTTCCAGATTTTTAGTATTAAAGACATTTTGAGATAACCCTTATTGCATACTCACAGTCATAATGTCTTGTCTATCCATTCTTTTTCTTATATCACTAAACACCATTTTTATAAGATCAGTTTTAAGATCTGATGGTAGCTACTATTGAGATCAATCTAGAAAAACACCTTTGATCTAGTCAGTTGATCCATCATGTTATCTAGATGTGTTATCGGGAACCTATCTTTAATATGATCCAGTTAATGGCTTGATTATCCATACGCATACACCATGAACAATTCTTCTTAAAGACTAGGAAGTTAGGACTATATATGGATTTATACTTTCTTGAATGTACCTATTTTTTAACAATTTCACAATTTGCCTCTGTAACTCTTTAGTTTTCTTAGGGCAAAGTCTATAAGCTAGTTTGTATGGGAGATTAGAACCTTAAACCAAGTTAATCTAGTGCTAAATATCTTGTATAGAAGGCATCCTCTAGGGTAACTCTCCTAACATCAAATTTGCAAATAATTATCAATGAAATTGCATAACATAATAAGCAATATAAATTTACAATCGATGAGCTTTGATATTAATTAATGCAGGCGAAAGCTATAAGGACAACCATAACACAAAAAACACTAAAATTTTAATGAGCGAAAATAATTACAGATATAAAATCTAAATTAATAATTTATTTATATGAAAATAGAACTCGTAAAGTCTATGTCTTTAAAGGTTTACAAAACCTATAAATAAGTAAAAAAATACCACCTCTACTAGAAAACAACTAGAAATCCAAAATAATAATAAAAATCTGAATTAAAAAATAAATTTAGAAAAAAGCTAGGAAATAATAATAAAATTAACTCAAACAACAACATTCAAACTATAGAATTACTTGGAAAGATTTAAGTGCAATCCAACAATTGAATGTCTTGTTTTAGGTTGTTAATCCAATCTGGTATGATAATGCTTTTGTTTGAATCTAGACATGTTTGACTGGTATATACCTTCGATTTTCGAAAGTTTCTTCTCCCTGTAGGCTTCTACTAATTTCTATTCCAAAAGGTAAGAATAACACGTCCAACATGTACCGTTGAAACCATTACCCAAAAAAATCTCACCAATAATCTTTACATGAACAAGAACCATCATTAAAACAATGGAATCGGTTGTTATCTCTCACAATTATCTCTCTACCTGCAATTCTAGAAATGTGCTTTACTGCCTCATGACAATCACCACAAACACGAAGATTTTTCACAACACGAATTTTGTCATTTGGAGCTGTGCTTATCAAACCAAAGGCAATTGCCAACTTCTCACTGTGACAACCAATGAAATGCTCCTTCTCCTCTTCTTCTATATCAAACAGCACATAATCTGTTGTGGGAACATAACCTGATGCTTTCAAGTCCTTGACCAATTCGCCAAGTTTTGCATATATTTTCTCCGATAAGGGATGGGATGTATCCCCCACAAGGAATTCATGAACAACTCCATCCACTTCAATCCAACTATACCCTGGTACTTTCTTAATCCCCCTCTCACTCATGATTGACCTAATCTTTGCTGCATCTTCCCATTTATGACTTGCTGAATATATATTTGACAAAAGAACGTAATTACCTGAGTTGGACGGTTCTAATGCTATGAGCTGTTTCAGCACAACTTCCACCAATTGGGTATCTCTATGCAGCCTGCATGCTCCCAGCAATGCTCCCCATACAATAGCATTGGCCCCCATTGGCATGCTTTTGACAAGTTGATGAGCTTCATCTAAGAAACCTGCACGGCCCAGGAGATCCACCATGCATCCATAGTGTTCGATTTCTGGAGTCAAGGTAAAAACACGTTCCATACTATTAAAATATTGACGACCCTCATCAACTAGACCCGCATGAGTACAAGCACAAAGTAGGCCAACAAAAGTGTTCCCATCCGGCTCAATCCCAGATTTCTCCATTTGGCCAAAAAGTGCAAATGCTGCTTTGAAATGTCCACTCATGGCAAGACCTGATATAGCTGCATTCCAAACTACTATATCTTTCTTCCTCATTCCCCTGAAAACTTCCCAGGCGCTATCCATTCTCCCACATTTTGCATACATGTCAATCAATGCCGTACCCAAGACAGGATTGCCCAAGAACTCATTTCTATCCATCAAATTGCTAGCCCAGTTCCCTAATTCTAGTGCTCCTAACCTCGCACAAGCACAAAGAACCCCCACCATAGCATAACAATCAGGTCTGAAACCCTCATTCAACATTTTAAAAAAGAGGTCCAAAGCTTCTTTAGGCAGCCCATTGGAAGCATAACCCTGAATCATAGAACTCCAAGAAACAATATCCTTCTCCAGCATCCCATCAAAGACACTAAATGCTCTCTCCATGTTTCCACATTTGACATAAAAATCCACCAAAGAAGTAGCCACAAACACATTCCTTACCATGCCAATCTTCGTTATGTAATCATTAATCCACTCTCCACTTGTCAAATCCCCAATTCGTGTGCAGGCAGCCAAAACCCGAACAAGACTGAAACTATCCGGCCTCAAACCCATATCCAACAACCTGCGAAACATATCAATCGCCTCCCTACATTTCCCAACACCAACATACCCACTTATTATCGCCGTCCACGCAGCAACATTCTTCTCGGGAATATCATCAAACACCTTAAATGCATTGTCTATAAACCCACATTTCCCATACAAACTGACCAAACTAGTATTAACAAACGCATCCGATTCACAACCCGCTTTAACCACAAGGCCATGCAACTTAATACCCAATTTAGAATCCAAAAGCCTGGCACACGCTTTCAACAAAAAAGGGAAAGTAAAACTATCAGGAGAAAGCCCTTCTTTTCTCATTGAGTGGTAAATTTCAATGGATTCTTGGAAAGAATCATTCAAAACTAAGCCATGGATCATTGTATTGAAAAGGAAAATATTAGGTTCTTTGGTTTGATGAAATATGCGATGGGAATAGTTTGTGTTGCCAAAGTTGAAGCTGAAACGTAAGACCTTGTTAAGGAGGTAACTGTCTTCGTCGAGGCCGAGGCGGAGAAGGGCTGCGTGGACATGTTTTAGGTGTTTGAGAGAGTTAAAGCCTTGAAAGAGGCGGATTTTGATGTGTGCTGACTTGTTGAGAATTAAAGAAGACATAATTTGAAAAAGAAAAGGACTTGTTATTTGTTATCTTCGTCATCATTATCCATAAATTAAGATGTTTAAAAGAAAATTTATTGGAAAAGATTCTTGAAAGAGTGAGTGAGAAATGCCCTCCTCTCGGGGGGGATTAGAGCGAAAACCGAGAATGAGAAGTGATAGAGCAGACAGACAGTAGAAGAGGAGGATGACAACTGACTATAAAACATGAAAAGAGAGGGAATAATTTTGATGTTGTTTCATGATAGTTATTAAACCGGGTCGGGAGTTGATCTTGCAAAGAAACCGGGTATGCGTCATTTGGGTTAACCTAAAGAAAATTAAAAAAATATATTTAAAATTTTAATATCTAAAACATTTCATGTAAGTTATATTACACACAAAAAAGGTTAAAAAAACATTCTAATTGTTTTATATATATATATATATATATGTATGCATTCTACATAAAAAAATAAGAAATATTTCATAGAAATATATGCTATAAAAAAATATATAAAACCAAATATTTACAAACTAATTATATATTTTTTAAATTTATTAGAAAAAACCTAATATTATTTGAGTTTTAGGTTCATATGATATGTCATTTGCATTTGATCGAGTCTATTATAGATCTAAATTTTAATAATTTATAACTCGGTCAAATTTCAAAGTTACCCAAATCCCGAGTTAACTTGTTATGTCAAATCATGCCAGGTTTTATATCAATGTCTTTTATACATTTTGGATGGATTGGTTCCATTTATTAGACCTTTTTGTTTGTATGTTGTTGATATTTTTTCTAAAAAAAAATGACCTTGTATTCTTTTTCTTTTTATCCCTTTTGTTTTCTAAATTGTTATTAATATAAATATTTTTTTTAAACAGATGAAAAGTTATACTAAGAATTTAATTTATAAGAAGAAGATAATTATCTTTTTATCAATTAAGGTAAATATAGATTCTCACATAAATTTAAAATCATTAAGTTTAATTGAGTGCGAATTCATAACTTAATCCTAAAGACATAATTAAAAAATATTTTTACTAAGCGAAATACTATAATGTTGATATTAATCATAAGGGTTAAATTAAGATATAAATTGTAAAATTTATATTTGTCATCAAATAATAATGAGGTTCAAGTCAATATTAAACAATAAAGTCTAAATCAGGTAATAAATATATAGGTTTACATTAGTTAATTGGGTAGTAAATCTTGGTTTCTACATTAGATAATAAACAAAAAGTTTACTTCTAACAATAAATAATAAAGATTTATATAAATAAACTATAAAGAGGTTACATCGAGCAAAAAAATATATATAAAACCCAATAACAAACACTAAATCTCATAATAAAGAAGAAATTAAATAAATTGAAAGCTTATATAAAAAACATATAAATAAACAAAGATAAAACACATATATAACTATAAACATTAAACTTACAAAGTCAACTACAAAAGAAAGAATATGTATTGAAAGTTTTGTTAATGGCAAGCCTAAGATATTGTAATTAAAAATGCTCCTTTAAATACTATTCTGAGATGTTTATTTTAAGGATCAACACAAATACATGATGTAAATAAAAAATATATGAAAAATATATTTTACTTTTTATCCTTCTCTTGTTTCTTAATTTGATTGTTAAATTATTTAAGGACATGTAGTTGCTTTATCTTTGCTATTTCCATGGAATGACTATGCATAATTGGATTTAGGTATGTTCTTTCTTTTGTGATATATCTTTAAGTTCTATAATCCATTGTGTTTCTTTTTTGGTTGGTCCTTGTATTAGTAACTTAACTTCTTCTTTTTTTCTTTTACTTCAAGTTAAAATGTTAATTTTTTTTTGTTGTTATCAGTATCTCAAAAATAAAGATGATAAAAAGATATACTAGAGGCTTTTGAAATATATAAATGAAAGGTATAAAAATGTATGTCATTCTTACATCACAATAACCCGCTCTCTTTTCTCAAATATAAGAAAACGAGTCTTCTTATATATATATTAAGGAATCTAATCTTTATAAAAAAAATTATCACCTAGTATTATGATCACTAAAAATCCTAACTGATCTTTAAAAATTTATGATAAAAAATTGGTTACGTTAAAGAAAATATACTATCTCCCTAAAGAACTTACATGATCTAAGCTAAATTTTTATTTATCTTCAATTGCTAAAAGTATATTGTGCTTAATCTACTAGTGTTCTATTCACAGGGTAATAGCGCGTTTAATATTGCTAATATGATGAGTTAAACTTTTATTGGTGCTTTTAACTTATTCATCTTAAAAAAAGTCCATGGAAAGTGTCTTGATAAGGTTCACATGTCCTATGATATATCAATACTCTTTACTCTGATATTAATGAATATTGTACTAAAAATTAATATCCTTAATTCTGACATGGTGAATATTATATTGAAAATGCTTAATATCTCTGATCTTGGTATCAATGAATATTGGACTGAAATTAATAGTTTTAATTTTGTCTTTGAAAAATATTACATAGAGAAGACTTGGTATTCCAAAGTCTCTGACTCTAACAATAAATTGTTTGATTTAGGTTTGTTAATTTTGACTTAATGAAATTCAATGCATATAATTGTATTATATTATATTTTAAAGTTATTTAAGTCATGTATGAATTTTTATTTGAATTATATATTTTAAGATGTTTGAATTTTTCTATTGTTTATTTCACTTTTATGTTAATTGTGTTATATTGATATTTACCACTTAAATGAAATTGCTAATATATAATTAGTTAAAATATTTTACTTATAATTTTACAATTCGAGTCGACGATCTGAGTTTATATTGTGTATTTCATGTCATATCAAAAAATATTTTTGACAACCTTGTTTTTGACTCTAACATCAGTTAATATTGAATTGAAAAATAATATCTTTACTTCTAGCATTGATGAATATTATATAGTAAAATTTTAATATTCTTAATTCTATTGTCACTGAATATTAAACTGAAAACTTTTATTGCATGAAAAATCCAAACCATTTGCTTCTTTTTTTAATTTCTAAGGCTATGAGTCAACTTACCTTAAATATTATAAGTGAATAACAAAACAATTTTGACATGATTTTTATGAAAACCAAAATGGATTCTTAAGGTTTTGTTGACCTAATAGGTCTTTTAATTTGGATTAAGCCGAAATGAGTCTTCTAAACTTGCTATAAAACTCTAAAAATATGCATGACAAATATGTTTTTGTTTATCTTTTGTGAAAATGCTAAAATAAACATCAAAACATACAAAAAATATATATGTATATATATATATATATATGTATATATATATATATATATATATATATATATATATTTGAGAGACTTGACCATACTTGATTATATGTACATTTTGACGACGATGATTTTTTTAAGCTTGAAATTATTAGGATTGTATAATTACCAATAAGATGGATGAAAATCAAGCAAGTTTAATTATTCATCAAAGAAATTATAAACATATAAAAGCCTTAATTTTGCATGTATAAAATTATGAGTAACAAACACAAACACGTAAACAGAGCTAAACTCAGGTCTACACATGTAATTTCACATAAACATTACATATGAGAATACATATGCACAATTTAAAAAAATTTGGCCAACATCATTCCAACACAAAATCAATTTTATATACATTGCATAATCTTAAAATCTCATCACAACAAACATTAAAATCATCGAATAAGCATGATATTTATTCCACACCAATATTCATTTAATGAACATTGCCTAATCAAAACATCATCATAGAATACAAAAAAATAAAATAAAAATAACAATAAAGCAAGGTAATTATTCAAGAGAAGTTTAGGGTTCAAAATGAACTTTCTAAGGTAGCTAAAGATGATTGGAAAGGGCTACAATGGTGGCAAAATAATGTTAGAATAAAGAAATTCAATGTTGGCCTGTGGTTGACAACCGTTCTAGCAATCTTCTTTTTAGTTATTTGGTTTCCAGGTAACATAAATTTTATATACGTTCCCTCATTTATTTTGGTTTACACTTAAACCCTCTTGACTTTTGTCATCTCTTTTTAATTACTTGGTTACTAAGCAATTTCATTTCATTTTAATCCCTCACTATTTCTTTTTTTCCACCTTATCCCTTGATGCAAATGTCGTGGGTATATAGATCTAGAAACATAAAGTCAATACGATCCTTTTGAATAAATTTAAATTCAAGCTTTTAATTGAGTTTGGTATAATGATAACTTGTATTGAAACACCAATACTATTAAAACTGAACCCCCATTTAAAACCTATGAAGAGACATGAATAAGTATTATAGAAGATACCATAAAACTTAATTAATTCTTTAATAAGTCAAAGTAGTTTCATAAAGAACCCAGAATAAGAAAACTCTCTCGCACAAATTTTATTTATGAATAATTAACCATTTTTTGAAAAAAAAACTAAATACAAGCTAAGTAACCTTATTTATACTATGTAAAACATCTTAAACAATCCTAAAAATAAAATAAAAATTCTAGATAAAATAGAAAAATAAATCCTAAATCAACTAGAAATCTAATGCAATTTCTGCATATTATCTTGCAGACCTTATCGCAAGGCTTTTTTGATATATGATTGATCTAAAAATTTAACCCAATATAAACTAAAACATTTTAAAACTTATGGTGAAATTACATCCCCATCAAATAGTCAAATAAAAAATTATTTTTATTAGAGTAAAATTATATATTAGAAACAATAAGTCGAAAGTTGCCTCTAGCATCCTTATCTTAAATGATAAGGAAAGCTTACGAATGAGAAAATTTATAAAAAAAAAAAACACATGTTGATGACCTAAAAACCCTTGAAAAAATAATCCTAATTTTTGCCATTTATGTTTTTTTTATAGAAAAAAAATTCTTGTTAAATAAAAAGTCCATAAATCATAAAGATCTAAATAGTAATAATTTCTTATCTGATTTCAAACACGTTATTTTCTTTTATCTAAAATCTAAATGAATTAATAAGCATACTAGATAGCCATGTATAGATTCAAATATAAACCAAACAACACATAAAAATCTAATCTAAACGATTTACAATTTCTTAATCTAAATATCAACATAGTAAATTCATGGATCCTTTTATTTTTAGAATTTGTAAGAGGCCAAATGTTTGCTAATTCATATCATTTTCCCTCTCCTTAAAAAAATTCATTATTAAATTATCACCTTAGATGTTAACTTCCTTTTGGAAAA